CTTCAAATCTCACGAAATCATAAATGCAAAAGTATGGTTGACACCGGATCAGCTGTTTAAGTATTTATGACCAAATGGTTAAATCGTGTGAATGAATGTGGACAATATTTGTCACTTTACTGCTGTGCGCAAATGTGTGCCAAATCATTTGGATCTTTGGCAGCCAAATCGTCTGATCGCAAAACAAATCATTTGTACATCGCTATCCAAATGCGCAAATGTGGACAAATCTAAATTTGGCATTTTGTGTACAAATGTACAAATCGTGTGATCCCTGCTTAAAGCATGATTAGAAACCGTCCGATTTCTGAAGCTATGCTATACTCAACCGATGTGGAGGGACGTTAGAAGAGTATTTGTACCGAAGTCAGACAGAGCTTCTCATACGAAAGCAAGCAAAGTCACTGTAGAAAATTTTTGAAACCCGCACTTTAAAACCTATCAAGACAAACCTTGTATCCATGGAGGCGCACGAACAAAGGATTATTACTTATGAGGGAAATCTTGCAGCAAGTGATAACAAGGCCAAGAAGTAAGGGGTAATTTTCGTAAGCAGGCTGCTCTGGACTTATAATACAGCGAAATCAATAGCGCTCAGAAGTAGACGAAAGAGTCCTAAATCCACCTCCACTTGATCTAATTGTACGAGATGTTGTCGATATTGTAGGCGTAAGGCTTAATGAAGCCAGCTCGTAGAACGATGGCAGCTAGATATATCCGCACGCCTATCCCTGTAAACGATGACTCGAACAGAAATTCAGATACAAATGTATCTCAACGAAATTTGGTATGTAGGTTGCCCTTTACCCAAAAGAGGTTGATATTGAAAATGGGTGACATCGCACTACTCTATATAACAGTATTCTTGAAAAATATGAGAACTACGATATATTCGTAACTAATGGATCCAAATTGTTGAAAATTAGTAGTGGAAGTAGAATTTCGGCATAAAATAGGATAGTTTAAAATTTGTGAAAAATGGGAGAGGTACCGCCGATTTGTGTTGAAATGCTGTGTTTCGAGGCCGCTTTATCGATCCTCACCAAACACGGTACGAACATTGAGTGTTGAACAATAACAACGGTAACTTATATAAATACGAAAATTGTGATAAATCTGTAACTACTTAAGCTAATATTGGACAGTAAACTTTCTTAAACCTCTTTAGTTTGATACCCATGTTGTAATATTTAATTTATTTTATAAATCTATTGAATTAAATTTTTTAAGCTGGTGGCACCCTCCTAAAATATATTTTCGGCTATATGCGTTCTTAAACTTCTTTAGTTTACCACCCACATTGTAAAATTGTATTTATTTTATCAATTTGATTAAATTAAACTAGCGCACCCGGCGAACTTCCTATCGCCTAAAATTAATTTTTTGTTGGAACATTTTGGGACAACACTTTTCCAACTACTCACTTAACGACTACCACATTTATCTACACTAATTATAGGTTTTTGATCGTCAGAAAGGATATCTCCCATTGCCATTTTAAATAACCCAACCAAAGCGTGGTGTGTCCGCGACGAAGTACTTGCATCTTTCCAATGATCTGGCGTTAAATCACAAAGTTAATCGCACAACACTGATCGATTTCAACGAAATAAATTTATTTCAGTTGTTAAGGTGCTTGTTCCTCCTTAGGTCGTCCTGCATTAACTTGGGCGCGTTGCTGAGGTTTTTTATTTGCAATCGCCAATCTTTGTAAATTGCGGTTGCGTGAGACAATGTTCCATAATTTAATCCGCGAATAGTCTACGAACACGGAAATTATCTTCGAAGCAATCGAACCATATTTGCAAAAGAAATGTGCGCGCCAGAAATTCCTCATTCAGCCTTGTCGTGAGTTTCACGCGAAATTTTTTCATCCCCCTGTAGTTAATACACGGAAACGAAAAGTGAAAAAGTGTACCGGTTCAAGCAAAACGAAACTCATGATAAGGCTGATTTTGTATTTTTAAACAAAATTCCATCATAAATACATTTTCCAAATCCGGCAGCTGTAACTGGAACCGGTAATAATTTGCAGCGCACTCTAACTGTATTCTGTAAACACAACAAAAAGACAGCTCTTGTCCTATGTGAGCTAAGTTCGATATTACGTAAGCAACTTTGTTTAATAAATATATATAGATACACATTTTTCAAAATTATTACTTCTGGTTAAGAGAGCATTTAAATGCCGTTCAATATTTTACTCAATATATTTAAGTCCCCAAAATTTTAACCCTATCGAAAAGTTTTTCTTTTAACCTCAAGCAGTGAAGCTTTCTTTTAAAATTGCGTTTCAATCATTCCATTTTATGCAGTATTATGGAAAATATGGCGCTTTATTGACCGGATACAGTGCTTTCAGCTTTTTTATAACCACATTTTTTTTTAAATAAATAACTACGTTTGAACAACGTGACTATTTTTCGCATGTACGCGAGCTGCTCACCTTCAAAATGAGATATCATTCATTTGATAAAATAATAAAGGAGATATCGTAAGTAAGATAAGTATATAGATTTTTCATGCAGATGGCAGTCCTGATCAAAAAAATATCTTTAAATCGAAGCTTTCTTTCTTTCGCATGAAACCATATTGCAATATTTACTTTATCTTTTCAATTTACTGAAACTGAAATTTTGAAACTGGTTAGAAACTTAGCCGGTTACTCAATGTCTGGTTAACACTAAACTCCGGTTAAATATCGTTATCGACGTCTTCGACTCCATGCATATAACAGAAACTCGGTAGCGTCTTTAGCTCTAGACAAATTTATCGAAATCCGCCGTTAATGTGTTACAAATTCTGATAATAAATTTACGGTACTACAATGTTTGTACCTTCATATGTGCACCCATATGCATACATAAGTAAATACTCATATAATACGCTAAAGAAGCAAATATAGGTAAGTCTCTATGCCTTCATATGAATATAAGTCTGAATGTCTGATTTACCTTTCTGGCATCCTCTCTTTCGGCGACTAGGTCAATTTTATTGCCAACAACCACAATGGGTACAGCTGAGGTCGCTTTGGTCTCGTGTATTTGATCGCGTATCATGCGAACCTCCTCGAATGTGGAAGCTTCGGTGACATCATATACCAGAATAAATGCATCCGCCGATGAGATGGAGAGGGCGCGCATTGCTGGAAACTGCTCAAATTGGGCGACAGAACGCACGCACAGAAAAATGAAAAATAAAAGAATGAGAAGGCAATGAGAATGAGTGAACAATTTACATATTATTATTGTTTTCTCTTAGATATGCATATTTTTTAAGTATAAACGCAGTGAATCGATTCTTATTTGCATGAAAAGAGTGCAAAAAGAACGACACAATGCGAGTATAAGTATACGGTGATGAATAAAATTCCCATTTAATTCGGCTAGTGAATTAAATTCCTCAGTGTCATATCTAAAATAGGAAAAACGTTTTTATAACCTGCATAAATATTTGTTTTCGTTTTTCTTGGTTGTCAATTATTTAAAAGCACGGAGTATAAACGAGTAAGTGTGGAAATGCATTTGCAGCCTTGTAATAATTAATGTTGCAAAAGTTATCGGTTAAAGCTTAGTATCCAGCTCCTAAGGAAACTGTCAAGAAAAAGTTGCCATTATTTCGTTTGTGAATAGTAGTGTTCAAGAGATTTTGACTTCTGATATTTCACAACCTGTTGTCTCACTCTTTTCTCACGAAATCATGAAACAGCGATATATTCCTGTTGAAAATATGGGATGCCTTGTGCTCTTTGTTCACAAAAAAACTTTAGAAAACCCTAGAAAATTGTTTTAAAACTGCGTACTGCCTTAAGTTAATTTGACACATAAAATATCTTCTCAATTTCTTCAGTCTTTTTTTATTGGACTGTTTGAGTTTCGTGAGAGCTGGATACAAAGCACAGGCATGTTCTGCAAATCGTAAGATTTAAATCGGTGCAATTCACAAAATCTCTTTCGAAGGATTAATAACAAAGCCGGAAAAATTTGGCACTAAATCCATGGATATAACGCAATACAAATATAAAACAATACTTTGCAAATCGTACCGTACGCAGGTTAGCTAATATTATTTTTACGCAAAAAGTACTTTGCCGTTGCTGTAAATTTTCTTAAGGAAATAAAATTACGAGCATTTTTTCTTGAGAGCCACAAACTAACTGCCAAAAAAATAGGTGATCTCATATATATACAATATACCTACAATTTTGGCAATCAACTGATAGTGTATTTACTTATGAAACTGCACGACGATACTGGCTTTAACAAAGTGTCGAATCCCACACCTTTTCCTAATGAAAATAACATTTCATATAACAGTCTTTTTGCTGAAAAGTACCCATTTTCACATTCGATAATTTNGTTTACTTATGAAACTGCACGACGATACTGGCTTTAACAAAGTGTCGAATCCCACACCTTTTCCTAATGAAAATAACATTTTATATAACAGTCTTTTTGCTGAAAAGTACCCATTTTCACATTCGATAATTTGACATGTTAGCGACGATATTTACACATATGTGACCTGGTCTACGAAAAGGGAGCTTACGTGCGAAAACTAGTTTTCTGTGAAAAAGCTGTTAAAAGTAAGCAACTCGTTTCGTCAGTTTCTCATTATCTCGTTAATTGTTCTCCGCGCCGGACGTCCAGTAAGTGTTGTTGTTGGTCCAGTAAGTGTTGTTGTTGGTCGGAATATTATTATAGTTCATCGTGTAAGTTGCTAGTGTGGAACATTTAAAAAAGTAACACTGAAGAAGTGACGTTTTTGTACATCTAAGCAAGTTAGGATTTTCTGCTTTTCACCACGTGAAAAAGCATCTCATCTTCCATCCGAATCAACCAAAAAGTGAAAATTGATTTTTTGACACCTAAGCCCCCTTTCCGTAGACCAGGTCACATATTTAAAACGCGACAACTCAACGCAAAATATCCACTAACGTCCCGCAATGTCTTTCGCGGAAGGAACGTTGGGAAAGCAGTGTAGCGCTACCGAAAATACCCTCCAACAACACTGGAACTCATCAATCCAGTTGTGATAGCTTAATATGCGATAAACCAATTTACGTTAAAAAAAATTAATAAATGAGAATAAACCTAAAAATTTACTTAAAAATTTCAGCCAGTGAAATGAAATTTTTTATTTTCCCTTACCCACGCTTATTCTTATTTTTACTCTCCTTTACTTTTACTTTTGAAAGTTTGACGACAAATTGGCTTCTACCTGTTTTTAGTGTACATACCTTGGCTNGAAAACTTTTACTTTTGAAAGTTTGACGACAAATTGGCTTCTACCTGTTTTTAGTGTACATACCTTGGCTCGATACTACGCCAAAAGATATTTTGCGCGAACGAAAATTTCTTCCAACTACTCAATTTTATTTTGAATCCCGGAGCGCAGAGAACATAGATACAAGTTTCCGGCATTTCAGTTTTCGAAACAAAATATTGTATCGATATAAATTAACTAATATACTGAGCAACGATATTGGCATGTGAAATATCGTATCAGTAATGCACATACCTAATACGTACTTTAAACGTAATTTCAAACCCCGACGGATCGTTTGAATACAAAATTAATTTTTCACATAGGTGGCAAATATATCCAGAAATATTTGCTGATAAATGCTTTCTCAAAATACGTATCTTCTTCTTCTTCATCTTATTTATTGGCACCGTAATCACCTAACCGATTTTGGCTGAGTCTGAAATAGCACGCCAGTCGCTTCTCTTCGTGCCAACTGGTGCCAAAATTCTTATCTAATAAAGGACAAGGGAATAACTTTATAACAAACAAATCTGTTGCTAGGTACATCCTAACTGTAACATTTCACATGACACAATAATAAATTAAAGTGGATTTTCCTTGCAAGTTCCGAGGTAACTCTATAAGGATGCATGATTTTGCTTGTATATATATATATATATATATNATATAAATTAACTAATATACTGAGCAACGATATTGGCATGTGAAATATCGTATCAGTAATGCACATACCTAATACGTACTTTAAACGTAATTTCAAACCCCGACGGATCGTTTGAATACAAAATTTATTTTTCACATAGGTGGCAAATATATCCAGAAATATTTGCTGATAAATGCTTTCTCAAAATTCGTATCTTCTTCTTCTTCATCTTATTTATTGGCACCGTAATCACCTAACCGATTTTGGCTGAGTCTGAAATAGCACGCCAGTCGCTTCTCTTCGTGCCAACTGGTGCCAAAATTCTTATCTAATAAAGGACAAGGGAATAACTTTATAACAAACAAATCTGTTGCTAGGTACATCCTAACTGTAACATTTCACATGACACAATAATAAATTAAAGTGGATTTTCCTTGCAAGTTCCGAGGTAACTCTATAAGGATGCATGATTTTGCTTGTATATATATATATATATATATTATATATATGTATGTAAGTAAGTATATTTCGAAAACGCTTCCTAAAAGAAATAAAATAAATGAATATGATCGTTTTTATAGCGACCCAATTCGTCCTAAAACATGTTTTTTTAGAGAGAACCATTTTTATTTATGGAAACATGAAGTATAAAAGCAGTAAAAGGGAAACGAAAATAAAAAGGGATTAGGCAAGGTAACTACTGCGGCCGCACATAAAAGCCGGCTAATCGCCTTTTCACTGGACCAGGCGTATAATAGCAATTACCACATGCGAATTGGTTGTGCTCCACCCAGCTAAATGGNAACTACTGCGGCCGCACATAAAAGCCGGCTAATCGCCTTTTCACTGGACCAGGCGTATAATAGCAATTACCACATGCGAATTGGTTGTGCTCCACCCAGCTAAATGGTTGAGGTTGAGCAATGCAATCTTCAACGTCCAGCGACTGCAATCAACCGCAGCAAGTGAACAACAACTTCGTGTACACGTACGCACATATACATATGGCTGTGTGTATATGCGAGCATTAGGGTGTCCAAAAATATGGAATTTTTTGCGAAAATTTATATGCACACGATGTACATACATATATGTATATATGTTTGTATAGAGTTGTATTGTCTCAACCCAGACTCATAAAGCTTTTATGGTGAAAGCGCAATTTTCGTCTTCGTTGAGGAGTGTGCTAAGTAGAACTTCTTTTCACTACCACTATCAAGCTGACCTTGCGTACCTCTGCAGAAAACTCAGTTTGTAATCATAATTAGGGATGGTTCACTCAAACCGAGTTCAGCTGTATGAAGGGCTCCAGCCAAGCATAATTTGGCTCCGAAAAAAGAAATATAAGGTATTGGGGGAAGGATTTTTAGATGGATGAAGTAGTAAACTTCGCATTAGGGAGAAATCGCCACAAGAACTAGCGATCCTGTTGTCTCCGACCTCTTGTAGTTGGTACTAATCACAGACACTTGTAAAATTCCTTCGAGTGGAAGGTTTGAGAGGTTAAATGAGTGAAAGTCAATTCCAACTACGACGTACTATTTATGTTGTATTTGTTGGCGTCTCTCAGAAGAAGATTTTTAGTAAATGTACATACATATGTAGCTTTTTTGCTTTCCACCAGGTTGACAGAATTTTTAAAAGGATAAAAGGAATTCAATTCAACACGAAAATAATAGGAATATGACCTTTAAAAGGATATTGAAAAATTAAAAATGTAGATTTACTTCGATTTATCCGCTCAGAATTTTTTACTTTGGGGAAGTAAAATTCTCGCACGTTGCATTACTTCTTCACCAAAAGATTATTTTCATATATAATACATACGCGTTTCAAATAAATTAAAAGTGAAGGATATATATGTATATTGGATTTCTGGAAAACCCTATATACAAATATGAACACACAACCTAGTTGGCAATTTGAAAAGCGTTCCCAAATAAATGTTTTCAAGCAGGGCTTTTCTATAGGGCTTTCTCTTCTGGAGTTGTCTTAGAAGATCTTCGATTAGCTTTGACATTGGAAGGCAGAAGAGAAGGTGTACACCAAAACCGTAGAAAACAAATAAAGAAAACAATCGCTCTTGATATGTCGCTGCGTATTTGATGTGAAGTTAAAATTAATCTGCCTCATTATTATTTATTGCTAGTTTTCACTTTTTAATGGAAACTGAACAGAACTGGCATAAAGGAAGGCCATTCGTTTTAAAAGATCAAAAAGGAGCATTCCTAATGCTTATTTTGCCGACTGGGAGATGTTGTTTACCGGACATATTTTATAGTGTGTGTGTGTAACACTCACTTGGGCTAGTTTTAGTACTGTTTATGTACATATATTCGTACATTCACACTCACCTCATAGGAGCCGGCCGTATCTAGAATATCCAGCGTCAGGCTAACGCCGGCGATTGAAAAGTTGCCTTGATGCATTTCCTCGATGGTCCTTTTGTATTTGGTGCTAAATGTGTTGTATAGAAATTGTGTGATTATGGAGGTTTTGCCGACTTTTGCCGCACCCATAACAACGATTTTGTGACGCGCGTTTGCCGGTCCAATGGCGTCATCCACCTCATTGTTGCGTCCAACTCTGTAATGTGACGTATTTTGAAAAATATTAGAAAATGTAAAACCAGTAAAAACAGGCAAGTTTCTTAAAAAATTGTACTAGTACACTGAGGGGAAAAATAGTAAAATCAATAAGAAATGTAGTTGATCTTACTATAAACGTCAAGGAAAGTGCTGCATAGTGGTGAATATTCAATTCTATTACGCGCATATGTATTAAAACGAAGCGTTCGTTTTGAAAAAGAATCCGTGATGTGAATAATCAAGATAAAACACGGTTTGCTTGAACCAAGATTAATTCCAAAGTTTTCTAACCCCGGATTTTCCTGTCGGAAAAAGTGTCAAAAAACTGCGCGGCGTGTAAAGGTACAAAAAGTCATTTATTTTTAACCGACTTCCAAAACAAGAGGAGGTTATCCGTTCGTCGGAATATTTTTTTTTTTATGTATATGCATAACTTTGCACCACGTCAACCGATTTTGATAATTTTTGAATCGGAAAGGTAGTGTCTCAGAGGTAGTCCCATACTAATCTGGTTTAGATCCGATCATTGGATCATGAGATATATATATATATATTTTTTTTTTATATGAGAGTTGAAGTATTTTTTTTTTATAAAAATTATTTGTTTTTCAAATACATAAATGATCAGAATGAAAAGAGAAATCGATTAAGCGGTGACTGTCTGTCCGTCCGTCCATCCGTCCGTCTGTTCAAACGATAACTCGAGTAAAAATTAAGATATATTAATGAAACTTGGTAGTGCACTTCTTTGGGGCGTAGGACGGAGTGTATTGAAAATGGGAAAAATCGGACAATAACCACACCTACCTCCCATATAACGGTAATTTTCAGAAATACGAAAACTGCGATATTTTAGTAACTACTGAAGATTATTCACTTAAAATTGATATATACAATAACTTTGAGACGAAAAATAGGAGTACTTTCATTTTTGGAAAATGGGCGTAGCCACGCCCACTTATGGTTACATGTGTATACAATCTTCATAACCGCTGAACCAATTTCTTCCAAACTTGGCACAGTTGTTAGCCTTGATACAGCATACCAAAGGCTGAAAATTTTTAAAATCGGTTAATAACCACGCCCACGTCCAGTATAACGGTAATTTAGAGAAATACGAAATCTTCGATAAATCAGTAAATATTAAAGTAATTTATTCAAAATTGATGCTTGCAACAATTCTTTACCAAGAAATACGTCTATGATAAAATTTTGGAAAATGGGCGTGGCACCGCTATATCGGTAACATTTATACATACATATTTGGCAACTTTCATAGAAATTTTTGAAATCAGCGATGGTAAATATTGGAAAACTTAGGAAAAATAGGGGTTTATTAAAGTTTAACCGACGAAAACTCCCCACAAGCTATGTCTAACAAAAAATTGTTACACATTGAAGGTCTATAAATCCTCTTTTCAAAACAGGTTTGGTTTTTCAAATCTGATGAAAACTAGGCAAACAGTTAATACATAAGTGCATCAAGCACGAACATAACGGTTTTTAAATAAAATAAAAATTGAGGGCTCAGGAACTATACGGAACTTATATTTATGTTGTACTCGATCATAGCTACAAGCTACACTAGGTTTCGTTTCGGGTGTATTTCATAACTTTTTTCTTGTTGCACAGTGTAGTTAATTCGACTTTGCTGAAAACTCACTCCGACTCAAGAGATGACGCTGGAATCCAAAGGCATTTGATACCCCATACTAATACAGAAGATACCGAGGATCCATAACATTAAACATATGTATTAAAAAAAAAAAACTTTATTATTAACTATTCTGAACGGTTTAAGATCCCTAATTACTATTAAAGTAACTGCTTGATTTATTCCTATTTTACGTTGACTTTCATTATCATATGCATATTATTAACACAAGACTATAATGTTTTATAGGTAAACGAACATATCGCTCATTTACTTCAATAGTGTCACAATTCAAAAAATAACCGCTACCTCTTCATCTATGTTGTGTAATTTCATAGCTATACCGATTACCAGTAGAAAACTGGAACAAAATATGCATTCATTTTAACTGTGGGAGTATATTGTTACCTTAATTCACAAAGGCCCTAACCAACCATTTTTTTGTTTTTCAGGATAAGCAAAAAACATTTCAAAAAGAGTATCAAAAAGAAGTAGGGCTTTTTAAAAAGTAGCATGTAGCTCCGTTGTTTCTAGTACTAACACTTTAACAATTTTTTATTGAAGGGGTATTTCAATACATGCTACCAAAATCTGTGAAAAACGCCCTTCTTAAAAAAGTGTTGGTTATGGCCTTAGTGAATTAAGGTAACGGTATGTAAATTCAAAACTTTAAAGCCGTTTTTCTCGAGTTTGGTTGTTTGAGTTGTGCCACTATTAAAGTAAATGAGTGATATGTACATGTAATTTTTATCATACAAAAAGTGTTGCAATTACGGATGCACGATTAATTGGTTAATTAATTTTTTCATTAATTTTAATCCCGATGCCAAGTATATTGAGCAGCGCTGCGGAAGATTTACTTTCCTTAGATTTCAAAAATAACTCCCAACTTCACAAATTTTCGATTTATTTATTTTATTTTTTGAGGTGAAGAATGCGCATAAATACAGACGTAGCTTTTCGATTCCCCCTTTTTCGTGTAATAAGAACTACCAAACTGCCATTCAGATTGGTAAGAGTGGCCAAGACCTATCGTTTTATTTATTATATATAATGTGCCCCCGAGGAAGACAGTTTCCTTATTGGTCTTTCATTACCGCCGATAGTATCGATAGTCTTAAAAAATCGATAGTATTTTCTTAAAAGTCAAACCATTGATATATCTATAGTATCGCCGATATTTTTCCACCTCTAATAATTACTGTTTTTCGTAGTGTCTCGAAGATAAGGCGATATCACTAGAGTCCGACCGATGAATCGGCCGATGCCGAGGCTAATATCGGTCAAAAGAACCGGAATCCGCCGTTTTTGGCCGATTCATGACTGAGGTATTGTTATTTAGTTATTTGATTATGTTTAAACATAAAAACGTTTTTCTTATGTTATTATAAAAACTTATAAAAGCATTTATTCTTAAAATGAAATTATATTCAGAGTTTAATGGGAAAAGAATCGGCCGATTAAAACCTGAATTAAATTAATTTTAAGAACAAATGCTCTTATAAACATTTATATTAACAAAAGGAAACATGATCATTGATCAAATAACTAAATAACATAACCTCCTTCAAGAATCGGCTGAAAACGACCGATGCCTATTCTTTTGGCCTATACTAGCCCCGGCATTGGCCGATTAATCGGTCGGACTCTAGATATCGCGAGTCCAAAAATATTTTGAATTATTTCTGGAAACAACTAACAAAAATTTCGTCGCAACTGGATGAGCGCAAATATGCCATGAGCCAGAAGTCCTTCTGACGATAATATTCTAAAATAGATCTCTAAGGTTTATTATTTTGTAATCAATTTAAAAATACGTGTTTTCTTTTTTTTATTAGGCTGCAATATTTAAACAAATTCCGTTGTAAATGGTTTGTCATCAGTGTAATAAGAGACAACTTAATTCTATATATGCACACCCGGAACGCCTTCGGGTATATTTCTAGTTTTAATTTGGAATACATGCGTTGCAAGCCATAACATTTTACACAGTTTTATATGTAAATAAATAAACTTGACGGTATAAATTTCGCACGGTTGAAGTTGCTATCGCCATTGGAATAGTAGAACTTTTTAACTACCTGTCACATACGCAAACATTTATGTACATATATAAGTATATACTATATGTTTGTATATGCATTTGTTGAATGCTTACATGTACAACCGTATATCAGGATACATATAAATCTGTCACTTACACACCTCGATTTGACGTGCAAACTTTATTAACACTACAACTGAGTCAAAACTGAAAGGAACTTAAAACGCAGGAAGCATTCCGAGTTTACCTGCCAGGAAAACTATAATCGCTTTGAAAATATGTAATCAGAAAACTTATCTCGTCTTGCTTCATCGCAGAGCTTTTACATACATTTAAGCTACACTATTTCTGCAAAAAGAGAATGCATGATGAATGTTGTCTCTTGACTGCATAAAGTTCGAAACTTAAATAATAAAAAGTGCATCTTAATTAAAAGTTTATTAACTATACATTGCATTACCGCACACAAAGCAAAATTATAATTTTTAAATGTAATGCTTTCTGCTAAAAGCTGAAACCTTTGGAATGAACAAATATGAAATTTTTGATGACTTGAACAATGGATGTGGTTTTTGTGTTGCATTGAGTTTTACTTTCAATTGGTTACTTCATTGTTGCACTATTTAACAAAGGAGTCTTTAAATACATTAAACAGGAGTATTCGGGTTGTCATTGAAACTATGACCAACATAACACATACAATTTAAATTTTCCTTATTTTGTACTGCACTGACAATGGAAGCTATTTATGATAGAAAAATCTATCTATTATTTGGAAATATATCGATTTTTACTTAGAATAAGTTCGTTTCACGGTTGCCGAAAGAAGGAAAACAATCTGATGCACGTGGTACTTATCTGATTTTTAAATTTTTATTGATACTGCTCAGTGAGACCAGAAAGATAGTTCTAAACTAAGGTGAATTTGATGAAAAGGTTAACAGCGCCTGTGTGAAAGCGATTTGGGATAAATTTTATTTTCCACAATTGAGTTATTATTCATCCGAATAATTGCCAGAAATATTATAAAATTTTTCTTCCCACACATCAGATTTTCAAGATGCGCAGCGGGTCACAAATCATAGCTCAAGGCAAACTGCCAACCGGGAATTATTTCAGAACATGTGAGTGGTGAAGGAAAGCAAGTTTTACGCCAACAAAAAAGTTAAGCTATCAATGAATATAATCATAAAATAATCAGTAGACGATGCAAACAATACAGTTGGATCGCCTGCCAAAGATAAACCCAGCCCAATGCCTGGGAATGAAGCTCATTTCCCTCCACCACACAAGGACGGGG